AGATTGCTTCAATTCAAAATGTAAATAGTTAAGTCACAACTGCAGAAAACACGCCTCGATCAGTCTCTGCTTCGACTAACATCCAAATTGTGTGCTGGCACTTGAGCAACGGATTTCAGGTACATGGCCCATTCACATTCATACCCGTTGTGTCTCTGGTGAGATCAGTGTCACCATTGAATTCAACCCAGTTGGTCACACATATAGCTCCATTCAATACTCCAAGCTCAAATATAACCTTCCCACAACCATCGCACAACCATCCACTCCACTTGGAATAAACTCCTATTGGACATGACTTTACTCTAACGTTGTGAGTGTCTAATTAATGGTCTCCGTAACTCGGTCTCTCCACTTGGCATCTGGTGCTGACACGAATTACCCACACCGCTGAATTCCCCAACTGATCCATTGGCCATTGCTTGCTCTCATCCTCGCTATCTGGTGTATTGCGTTCATTTCTAAGCTGTCTCTAATGCCACCTCTTGATGCAGTACTGCACTAGCTGTTTTCTTGTAACTACATGTGTGCAACTGACAGAAGTGTGTGGAATTTTGTTATGCATGAAAATAAGCTATTTGTATTTAGAATGTCGCACACTACCACACGACAGTTCGAATGGATGCAAATTGCCATAGCAAGACAATGAGACAAAATAGTAATGATTGAAGCGTTTACCAGATAGACTCAGCTGAGTGTGATAGAGAGATATATCACTAGTCTGGTGTCTCTATTCAGTTTGTAGTTGTTGCACTTCCCTTCACCTGGCTTTAATGTATTATGCAACACAACTGACTGTGTCTGTAATTTTTCGCCTTAAGAAAAAATACTGGCTATTGGTAGACACTCTTTTTTTGCAGCAACGCCCTCGTCTTACAGCATATACACGATGCTACTGTCCTACATTGCTAATGTCCTCCAGTCCTCCAGTCCTTCCCTCCCCTACAAAAATCCATAATTTTTTGGACGCCGCCTGGAGAGCCGGGACATGTCAAAATTTTTCAGTTGGACTTTGACCCCAAAATTGGCACCTGCATGTGCCTTCTTACTTTAAAGCTGTAAGTTGAGCTCTAAACTTCGGTTGTGAGTTTGGGAAAAGGTGTTGTAGGGGTGTAGTCCGTAATTTTTATTTTCTCCTAAGAGGTAAATTATAATTGGAGGGGGTTTGTCTAAGTTTTTGCAATGATATTACGAGAATTATTTTACTGAAGAACATCAGAGATACATATCATTCAGCATAAGTGAAGTTATTTAATCAAAAATAATCAAGGACTCTCTTGCATGACATTATATTCACTTGTTTGAATTACTAGAGTTCCTTGCCATTCTCAAAATCAATCAGACCCCTGAGTTATGACATTTTCTAAACAAGTTATGATGCTCTTGTGGCTCTATCTTACTTCCGCTTTTGAGGATTCTAACTCAAAATATTGAAGCACTCTTACGGCATCATATTATAGAAGATTGAGTTGAATCATAGAAACCTAGTATCAACATTGCGAAGAATGTGGTAGCAGCAAATAGGTCTCTGATGCAAAGATTGCAAAAATTTTTTTTTTATGTTTGTACTTTGTGTTTCATCAAACCTTCGCTTCTCTGTCCAATTATAACTAGTTTCTTATAATCACACATATATATGAGCCTGAAACCAGCCAAAGTCCAATATCCGTATGTTTCTTGTACGAATTGATTAAATTTAATTCATTACTAACTTTACAAAGGTTTTGGTATGGAGGTTTCTCAAGCATGGCCGCATGCTTAGTAACCCATCCTTTGGATCTCGCAAAAGTACGATTACAAACTGCATCCACCCCCGGTCAGTCTCTAGTTTCCATGTTGTATCGGATAATATCACAAGAGGGGTTTTTCAAAATCTATTCGGGTTTGACGGCGTCTCTTTTGAGACAAGCAACTTATTCGACAACCCGATTTGGAATCTACGAAGCACTCAAAGATTACTATATTAAGCACAGCCATAATCAACACCCCGGCACTCTTGTATTATTACCCATGTCTATGATTTCGGGGGCAATGGGGGGTCTTGTGGGAAACCCGGCTGATGTTGTCAACATTAGAATGCAAAACGATTCAACTTTGCCAATTCAGCAAAGACGAAATTACAAGAATGCATTTGATGGCTTGTACAGAGTATACAAGAGTGAAGGGCTTAAGTCGTTATTCAGAGGTATATCTCCAAACTTGGTTAGAGGGGTGTTAATGACAGCTTCGCAAGTTGTGACCTACGATATTGCAAAAGGTCTTTTGATTGATCAAGTACATATGGATCCAGCAAAGAAATCTACTCATTTTAGTGCGTCCTTGATTGCTGGATTGGTTGCAACTACTGTTTGCTCCCCCGCAGACGTTGTGAAAACGAGAATCATGAACAGCAAGGGCAGCGGTCAAGGCGCATGGACTATACTTCAAAATGCTATTAAACATGAAGGAGTTGGATTTATGTTTAGAGGTTGGCTTCCAGCGTTCATCAGGTTAGGCCCACACACAATTGTTACTTTCTTGGTCTTGGAGCAATTGAGAAACTTTAGACTTGGAATGTAGAGCACTGAATTCGTGTTTCAACTTTGATTATACCACAAACAAAGAACAATAGAAACATTTTATAGATATTTTATAGAAGACTCATTTAAAAAACATAGATGGGTACTAAATCCCACTTCGAGATACCGTTCATGGTCGTCACTAGTTGATGTTGTCGCATGCGTACCAAACAAGCGTGCAAAGACATCTTGAGCTATACAGAAAGAGTGCAACAGTTAACACATGAACAACACACGTATAACCAACGCCTAAAGAGTGAAATGAAAGCAACTACAATTTTGTATGTTAACGCTTGAACTCAGCACGCCGGTTCATGGGATGCTGAAATTGTACATTCATCTCCACCTATTAACCTAAGAACTCTTAACTTCGATGTTATCTAATTCGGCTTTTTCAAAGGCCTCCTTCTCTGCTTCCAAAATATATAGGATTAAGTAGTGATCGTCTTCTTCTGGCTTGAGAGCTTTTCCTGGTGGAAGTAATTGGTGGGTCAATGATAATTGGTGGGCAGTGAGAATTCTAAAGTTTCTCGAGTAACTCAATGCAGGGGGTAATCTCTTGATGGCCTTTTGCATGATAGGAGTCTCTTCCATAAGTAAATCATTAAACCTATTTCTAGTTAGTATTCCTGACTGAAAGTGTCATTTGTACTTGATTACATACTTTAAACCCATCTCTCTGTAACCAGCATAGGCAGTAAATTTGTTTGCAATTGGGGTGACAATTTTGGACAAAGTAGGTCTTGACAATATAAAGTTGGCAGCCTTAACGACTGAAGTCATGGACAGCATTGTTCACGTAAATATATAGATATATATATATATATGTATCTCTTGCTATAGCTTTGGTTGATTAGCGTTCAGCTCCTTCCAATGTAAGCCTGTGTTTTATTTTTTTTTTTTTTCTCTTTTGCTTCCTCTCTCTGGGTGAATGTAATCATTTTCAATCAACTGTAATTGGCTAGTCATTGTAGACTTCCAAATATGGAAATATGTTACAAGTACACACAATAGTGGTTCTGAAGTTTTTTAGTTAGAGATGGCTACATTAGCACTACAGCGGCGGTCTTTAATTCAAATCTAGAAATATCATCTATCATCTATTCAATAGCTATACTCGTCTATGTGAAGGTCGGTTGCGTTGGGCAAGCACACTTGTTCCACCATTTTTAAAGGGCCGAAATCCTTCACCTCATCAAACAACTCTTGATTCTTACACAAGATAAGGCCATATACTCCACATGCATTGATTCCTATTTTGTCTTCAAATTTAGCGCTTGATCGAGGCACCATGAGCATGTATTTAGTAGTCATGATAAAATTGAACGAAATGTGGTGCTGATTGTTTTCCCGAAGTACATTCATTGAGTGTTGCAAAAGCGAAACAAACGAAGTTGCTAAAGCTTCTTCGTCAATGTCTTTTTCGCGCAAGCGAATTAGATAATGAGCAAAGGGAATATTCTTGTCTTGCAATGGCTTCTGAGCATCTGCAGGAACAGCCAGGTTCTCTGCTAGTATTTTAGCATAAGATTCGAATTTGTCCCTTGGTGGTGCTGTCATGAACTGTACATGTTTGTGTGGCTGGGAAGCACCACTTTCGGGACCACAGTTGTAAAAAGCAAACCAATCCTCTTCAACTGGACTCTGCTTACCTAGCTCCAGCAAAATGCTGTACGTTGCAAAAAGTTCGGTCTCGGAGAGCGGAGTGTTTTGGTGTTTGAAGGCTCGTGTCACCAATAAGAAATGCTTGGAAATGACGGGAAACTTGTTGAATACTAGTCTAAACTGGTGTTCCGGTCCATACTTATCGACAATTGTGAGTTCTGGTTCAGGTTTTTCAAAAGGGTTTGAATTTTGATCACCCTTTTCCGGTCTATGCATCAAGGAGGTCAACATCGTCAACTGGGTATTTGCCGTCTTCTCACCGACTAGAAACAGCTCAATTTCGTTCACTACGGCATCTCCGTTGAACAAAATGTCCTGAGATTTCAAAGCTTGTTGGTACTTTTCACTCAATGTGGCGTAGAAGTCATTAGGCAAGTTGTAGTCGGACATTATTGTTTTGTTGCAACTAAAGCGAGTTTAACTTTCGGTATTTGTTTTTGTTGGATGAAAATGGGACCGAAAAGAAAATACAGTCTTTTTATTTTTTATTCATACTAGTGCGACATAATAATTCATACCAACGCGACATTTATTTTTCATGCTAAAATGACTGAATTTTTCATACCAATGCGCGTTAATTTTTCATACCAATCCGACCTATAATTTTCATACCAGCGCGATACAGTCTGACTACAATGATTTTCTGTGTAGTTTAGTGTGCGCGCTAATACGAAAAATTTAGGGCGAATTGGTATGGATAATTTTGACGCACTAGTATAAAACAAAAGTAAAAACACTGTACAATGCTATCTGACAGGTTTAACTGTAACTTACTCAAATGTACCACAAGGCTACAGACCATTCATTGATATCTTGGTAGATCTCCAGGAAGGATCTTCTGTTGATATTCAATATACCAACGAGTACAAGTGCAGATATAAAAGATGCCAAGAAAGCTAGCTTTCCTTACACATGGGGAATATATGACAATACTGAAGCTGGATCAAATGATGGTAAGGTGGTCACAGTGACTACAACAACGTATTATGGATCCACGACTGCCGTCACTACTTTGCCATATTATACAACGCCTGGAAGTACAGAAACAATTGTTGTCGAAGTTCCAATTCCAACAACAACTATAACTACAACATATGATGGAAAGTCAACTTCGTACACTACTATCACTGCCACACCAGGTGAAACAGCTACACTTATTGAATATGATCCCATCGAGCACACTACCACATGGACTACTACCAGCACCGATGGATCAGTGGTGACTATATCTGGTATTATTTCCAAAACAGAAACAACTTACATTACCATCACCACATTCCTACCACCAGTTCAAACTGAGTACACTACTACTTGGACTACTACCAACTCAAACGGATCAGTTGAGACTGATTCTGGTATCGCTTCAGGATCAAGTATCTTCAGTACCTTCCCACATGAGACCACAAGTTCTGGTCCTGGCTTTGGTTCTAACATCGGCCCAGGGTCCGGTTTTAGCACTGTAATTGTTCTCGGTTCTGGTTCCAACACTGGTGCAGGTTCTGGTGCAGGTTCTGTTTCCTCTGGAGACGCTTCGGCTTTGATCAACGGGGCATCGACTGCATCAGCAACCAGAGTATCTTCACATACGTCTGCGTCTACACTCAAAGGATCTGGTTCAGTTGTCAAAGTGTCGTCGGTTACAAATATCATTATGTGCTTAGTTATCTTTGGTTTCTTTTAGGATATGATGATTAAGGATAGAGAACAAGAGTGATATAAGAGTTTATTAGGTGAAGGTTTTCCTAGAAGCTTTTAGATGTTACTATTTGTTTTGCCATTTGTGTTTTGAATTCTTTTATTTTTATGACTTTTGCTGGTCGATTTTTTTTACTACATTGGCTTGTTGGTTTTTTTGCGATCAGTGTTTGCTCTATTGCAAATTCTTTCTTTTTGATCTTTTTGGTTCCTCTTATCCAAGCATTGGTATTTCTTCTGTTTGGATTTAGAGATTTTCAGCTATTTTCGGTTATATATATCTTTCAAGGTCAATTTCGACTTTTTAAGGGTTTATTTTTATAGTACATACCTATTAATAATTTTATACATTCTTTGTAGCCATTACTCATAAATATCACAGATGATGGCACTCTATTTGTATATGATTTGGCAAGTGTACTCTAAACTATTTTTATCGCGAAGGTGAGAAGAGTCAAGTGGAAAGAGATACTATTTTGCAACCGCCAATCATTTTCCTTTTATTGGAAGAAAATATTCAAAAATATTGACCTTTTGAAGCCCCTCCTGAACGTATGTATGCCCAAAAGCTTCTTATTGTTCGGTTGAAGTATTCAAATAAATTTCTTACAACTTAATTTTTAAAGAGGTTTTTTTCATTTACCCAAAAGTATGTCGTGTAGTAAAATCACTTATGCTGAATGACGAAACTATCGACACCGCGACACTGGAGTATGGTACGC